AATCACTCTGGTGACTCAGCGAGCGGATGAGTTATGCAAGGACCTTGGCGAGTGGCTGGATACACTCGACGAGTTCAGGTCAACATGGACTATTGACCCAGGTAGTTGACTTTGACTTTTACTTTGATGTTGACCAAGGGTTGACCAGTTGACTTCTGGGGTATCTGGAAATTTATGAACCTTATGATGTGTTGGATGTAGGTGGTGGAGTTTGTGGTGGTGATTCAAGAGTTGAGCTTTGTATTTCCAGTCGGCAGTTGCAAGGTGAGTTATCCTCACTATACTCAAGGGTCTAAGGCACCAAGGTTGGCCCTTTGGATTGTTACCTAGTATGTTATGCTAGTATGATATGTTAGATCGGTATCCTAGAGGGTAGGATAATATTATGTGGTATGTAGTATGATCTGTTAAGTCGGTATCCTAGATGGTAGGATAATATTATGCAGTATGTTGTATGATCTGTTAGATCGACATCTTGGTAGATAGGATGGTATTATGTGCCATGTGGTACGATCCGTTAGACCAGTTGTTTTCTATAGAATGATATGTGAATATCTGTTATATATGTATGTGCACATCTTTGTTTGGAGATTGAGGCTTACCTGCTTTGTGCGGAGGCCAATAGACTTGGGTATTCCAACCTATTGGTTGTGGGCCATGAGTATTCCATCCCGAGAATGATTGGACTCATAGTATGTGGGCATTCCAACCTGTTGGTTGTAGGCCTGGGGTATTCCATCCCAAGGATGATTGGACCCATAGTATGTGGGCGTTCTAACATGTTGGTTGTGGGCCTGGGGTATTCCAACCCGATGGTTGACTGGACCCATAGTATGTTGTTTATGATTCTATGTGTATTGATGTGAGTATGGGTATTTTGGGGGAGCTCACTAAGCTTTTGGGCTTACAATTTTAGTTTATTGTTTCAGGTACATCGGATGATCACGGTAAGGCAAAGATATGATCGTATAGCACCTCATCTTTTCTTTTGGTTTCTGGGAAAAACTCTAATATAGACTATTTTTGGAAACAAAGTTGTAATAACTGTTGATTTAAAGTGTTTTTGAAAAGCTTAAATTTGGCTTAAAATTTATTAGTGTTACAAGTTGGTATCAGAGCCTTGGTTTGAGTGAATTGGAGGAACATTCGTGTAAATCCAATCTCAAATCAAGGTAAGATTTTCAAAATAAGTAAAGGAGGATGTAGGGTGTGCGATCATTCGGATCCAGTAAGTGGAACCCAAAATACCATACAGTAACTGATTTTGTGATATGTTAGAATAGCATGCTAGTGCTAGGCTGGGAATCTTTTGGAATCGCATGATAGTATTGCCTGATTACATGATGCCTGCTAGCCTAGGGTTTCCTTTTTAGGAGATTGACATCATTACTATAGTTACTTGTGTATGCATCACGGATGTATATAATTAAGATATTATAGCCCGAAAATGCTTGATTTGGCCTTATGTTCTGTTCTTATTGATTAGGGATTAGGGTAGGATCAGATATTCGAAATTCTATGGGGTCCAACATTATTTATGGCCAGCATATACTAGTGTCGTAGGGATGGTGGAAGTTTCATGGATGGATGGGTCGTGAGAAGCCAGGAGGCCAGTTACAAGATATTTAGCATTCCTCTAGAAGTGAGGATTGAGCGCTCAATATGATTATGTATATTGTTAGGTGTAACGCCTGTGTTTCCGGGCTTGCCATTTTTAGCAATGTAATGGTCTAGGTTAACCTTTGTAACCCGTTTCGAAATAATAAGATTGTATTATTTGAGTATTTATGTGTTTTTGTGCTTATTGCTTAATTATGTGGTTTGATTAATTAAGAATAAAAATAAGACAAAATTTAAGTGTAAAATAAACTTGATATCTTTAGATAATGTTGTAGTAGTTGAAACAAGGTTTCCGGAGATATAAAGAATGCCGAAATCCGAGTTATAACGAGAAGTTATGACCTGTCGAAGTTTCGCGACAGAACGGCAACGCTGATAACGTAAAAAGTGAAATTTACGTTAAACGATATTTAGCCTTAGTGATCTAAACGAGAATCGAAGATCTCGTTGTTAGTATCAAAGCGATAAAAAGTTAGGCGAGAACGGACGTCAAACGAAGAAGTTATGAATTTATAACGAAATTTTCTGTCCCGGCCTATTAAAAATAAATAATACAAATAAATTCAAAATAGCCGACGGAGTCTAAACGAAAGTTGTAGAGCGTAGTCTCACCTTTCCGTGGATATAAAGAACGTCGAAAACGGAGTTCGTATGAAGAAGATATGAATTTCCGAAGTTTGATAAATAATTTGTATTTATTTTTAAATCAAAAATCCGGCATTATCCGAAGGGGGAGTCACAGATCTGATCCGAGGTACGCGCCGCGTACTCGAGTACGCCCTGCGTACAACCAAAGTGTCGACACTTCGGATGACGCATGCGATGACGCATTTCGGAAGCAGTACGCGCTGCGTACTGTTGTACGCCCCGCGTACGAGGGGGTTCCAGCCTCCTATAAATAGGATGCGAGGGCAGCCGGCCAAATTGCTAATTTCCTCTCGTTTTTGTGCCGAAGCTCTGCGTTTTACCCCGAAGCCATCCCGAAGCCCCGGTATATTCCCGAGTCCCGAAGCGAGTCCCGAGATCCCGAAGATCCGAGAAGTGCGGTTTCCGAGCCGAAGCTCTGCCCGCGAGAAGTTCGATTTTCGTAGAGATCTTCCAGATCTGCGAGGATTATACTTTGCAAGTCGTAGTGCTGTCCGATCATCTTCTGATCAAGTGAGTGTATACTACCTTTCATAAACGCAATAATAATACAAGTATGGTTCGAGGTATTAAGTTTATTGTCGTTTATACGTGTGAATGCGTTGTTACTTTCTCTAACGTATAACTATGAAGTATTTTATACGAGATACGTGTTATGTGTATATTTTGTTGTTATATGTGTGAATGTACATTCACCTTCTTCTATCTTACAGATATGATTATTTCTATATGAAATACGTGTTATGTGTGTGTGCCTCATCTGTTATATGGAAAATGTATTGATCAAGCATTCTATACAGGTTTTGAAAATATGTATAAAAATGTATGTTTTTATCTACTAATATGTTGGGTAGAACATGGGTAGATAGTTGGTGTAATAAACAGATGAGAGGCCTCGTTGTTGTTTGATCCAGTTATCTAGCGGAATTTAGATGACGACCACGGACTTTTCTAGACAGTCCAGTGGAACGCTAGCAGGCTCATAACTTGTAGGTGTTAATGAACTTGGGTGTTCATTCGCTGTATTCCATCCCCCTCATGGTTGCCTTATTTGACTTATATTGCTGAGGAAACCCCGCAGCATGTGTTGTCACCCCGATGAAAATATTCTTAGATTAGGTCCCTTATGTTAGTTATTTTAGGGACGTAAAGTGAGAATAACGGGAATGGGTAACTGGGTTATTGTTGGTTGATAATAATTAATTTAATTATTTATTGTGGGTTGAAAACCCTATATGCTCACCAGGCTCCCAAGTCTGACCCACTCAGTTTTATTTGTATTACAGGAAGTGGCGCAAGGGCGTAAGATGGATGAACCATCAAGTTGTTTTGTTTACAAGTCTGTATATGTAAATATTTGTTGAATGACTTGTAATGTTATCGTTTATGCCTTTTGGTCTATATCGGAACATGACACCCCGAGTTTTGATTATATAATGAAAAATACATTTCTTTTATGAAATGCTTTGGTAAACATTGTTTTATCATGTTTTGTTTTTGGGAACAAATTTCGCAACTCTTTCAAATCAAAAGGATTTACTCTGAATCTATTTTAAAAGCATAACTGAAAATCGGTTTTTTCTGGCCGAGATTTTGGGGATGTCACATTAGGGTTTTAGAGAGCAGAGGCGACTTCTTTCTAAAAGGGAGACGAGAGGTAAATCTTCATAGAAAAATCGAAGATGAGGCGTTATCAATTTCACAAAATCCGGTTAGTCTAAGATGCCTAATAATTTAGAAGGTCCATGATTTTATGCAATCTAGTTAGGAAATTGAAAATTGACATGGGTTTTTGGTTTGAGCGGGAAGATAAGAGAATAGTAGCTAGCAAAATGACACGTGGCAAGTTGAAGGTACAAAAGAGGAAATGTGACGTGCAAAGTACTCTTTTAATTAAGAATAGATAAATATAATATACCAATTGTAAACTTGCTTGGGACCAATTCTTTTATTTCATTGGTTCCTTTTTTTTTTTTCCGTCTTTTTTTTCTTGGTGGAGATTTTTTTTTCTTTGATGGGTTTAACTTTATTTTTTATTTATAGGGTGGTATGAAGTCCACAACTCACATGTATGTGTTGTGTTTTCCTCAATGTTATTATTTATGAATTGTCATCCCTCTTAATCTACATCTTCATCTTCCATTTTCACTTAATCCCTCTCTCTTGTTCATCTTCCCCATGCTTCGAAATCAAGCATCTTGACCTTTTTATTTATTTAGAGGTTTTGATCTTTATGGGTTGCAAAAAGTTGTTAAAATTCTTGATCTTAAATGTTGTTTTTTTGGTGTGATTTCTTGACTGTGGATGGTGAAGATAATGTGGAATGTTAATAAATAAATTATAATTACCATGCTGGCATAGAAACCGGAATAACATTAACCCGGATATCATAGGCAATATTGATTGATATTAAACATTTTCAGCTAGTTTAAAGATCGTAAATAGTTACAAACAGTTATCAGTGACCAAATCATAATACTTATAATAGTTTCTAACCCATTAATCCCTTATTAACATTAACCCAAAAATAAATTGAGATATCAGCGTCATATATAATCATCAAACCAAAAATAAAGCATTAAAAAGCTCAATTTGTGATGCCTTGTACTTCTGCCCCAATTTGAGAGACCAGGTGCCAAGTAGAATTCGAATACTCCAAAAACTACACCCAATAAAATGAATTTATTACTTACATACATGTAGAATGACAGAAAAAGACAGAGAACCTGATCTTGTCATGTCTGCATCTGCTTCAGATGTTTGGTCATTTTCTTGCTAGCCTGAGAAAGAACATTCAAACAAAGATATAATCTTTATATTTTCATGCAAAATTTATAAGTATAAAACTACATGTGCCATGTCATAATGTATGGATAATATGAGTGAACTACCTTTGCATAGACTTCAAGGGTGGCAGTTTGTTCAAGAAAAGATTGCATTGCTTCTCTTTCTGCATTCTTAGCCTCAATTTGAACTGCTTTCTTCTCCTCAAGTGCTTTCTATAACAAAAAGATTAGAAAGAAAAAAAATGTATCAAGTCATTGTAAGCTTCAGTTGATTGTTATATAACTTCCACCTGTAGTTTAGCTGGAGATTGAACAATTTTGGAACGCAGACTTGCATTTTCTTGAGCACTTTGAACCAAAGCAAATTCAGCACTTGATACCTTTTCATCCATTTCTTTTTCTACATCTTTCTTTTTTCTGAATGTAGCTTTTAGGGACATTTGGTGATTCTTAAGAGCTGAAATGGTTTGGCGAAGCTCTTTAATTTTGATCTCCACTTCTTGAATGAAAGGCATCTCCCTTTCCTTTGATTCATTAATCTCTGATATCACTGTGCTCAACTATGATGAAGATAGATAGAGCTATTTCAATTTGATTGAATGAATAACTAAACCAATTATATTTCTTAAACTTACCATTAATACTCTACCCTCGACCTCCTGTTGTTGCTCACCAAGATTTGTCAAATCTTCCAACACTGGATTTAATTCATCCATGAGCCTCTAGGGTGTTTAAAACAATATAACAGGTTATGTGGATGGCAAAATGGTGATACATTTTCATGATTAGAAGTTGGATGCTTTTTAGAATTTGGTAAAATTGTGAGTCTTATATGTAAGTATAATAATCACAAGATGTAAATGTCAAGCATATGGCTAACTAATTCGAACAATCTGATCAGAACACCAGTAACATGTCTAGGGTTGGGGTCTTACAGCACGAGAAGAAATAAAGAATTAATTCCAAAATGATGCATGAAAACTGAAGAGAAAAAAATATACCTGTGAATGAGAAAATTGAGGATAGTACCAAGAAAGAACTCAGTGCGATGAGCTTCAGGCTTAAGGAGATCTTTTAGAGTGAATTTCCAAGGGCAGTCGAGAGCAGAAATGAGTTCCCTTATCTCATCATTCTTACAGAGTCAACATGCAAATCCGGGTTCTCACGTTGTTCTAAGTCTGCAAATTCGACTAGTCCTTGATCTTCCCTACAAGTTCAACAGATACTTGAGAATTTTGATAGTACAGATAGTTTGAAAGGTAATAAAACATTAGGGTTTAGAAAAGTGTACTGGAGACGGCTGATGCAAACGAGTATTTGAGTGTAGAGATTGTTGATGAAGTCAGGTCTAGGGTTGATGAGTTCGGCTTCGGAGACGGTGGCAACTTCGGATTCGGCGAGTACTCCGATGATCTCTTTCTGGGGGAGTGTCGGATAATCGTACTTCGACATCTCCCCCCTTGTTTTTGTGTGTGTATGAGAGTGAGAGAGAGAGAGAGAGAGAGAGAGAGAGAGAGAGAGAGAGAGAGAGAGAGAGAGAGAGGTTTATGTGTGCGTTTTCCCGCCAAAGTGTGGAAGAGGTTCATAGAAGAGTGATTGTGTCATAAAAATAACATCCGTCAATGTGAAATACGATAACCAATGAATCAGGCAGCAGACAAGGAAAAAGTAAGATTGTGTAAACAAAAAGACATATGCATTATGAACCGATAACCTATACAAGGGACAAATCAGTGGGTGCATGTCGATTAGAGCATCACAACAATACATGCATAATCATAATATTAATAATATTAATATAAACACATGAGCAAGAAACATGTATCAACAAGAAATATCATAAAACAAAAGCATACAAGGGGAGGCTACACATCAACCTCATGTCCTTGAAAAAAGTCAGCTTCTCTATGTCAAGCCTCTCACTGCCCTCCCACTTCCTTACAAGACACATCTCTTCCATATGCCTTCCGTCGTCTCGTTATTGTCAATGACAGCAGCCTCCTTATTATTGGTGATTTTAGTGTCGTCATGTCATTTTATATAACTGGAATTAACATGTGAGCTAAAAGTCTTCCTAATTTGTATTCTAATATATGTCCAGGTTTGTGCGGAGTGCACGCATGTATAAGGTTAAATTAAAAGCCGGTTCGACGACAAGTCGGGTCTAGGGGCAGCGTCCTTAGCGGGGTCCAAGGGGCAGAGCCCTTGATTGGGGTCCGAATTTTACATATGAGAACTTAGTGGGAAATTAGGATTCTTGAAGGTGATTATGGTAAAACTAATAAAAGTCATTAGTTTTGGTAACTTTAAATCCTCATTCAAATCCAGATTGCCCTGACTTGTTTCCAAATCAACTTATGACGGCCCAACACTAATGAAACCCTAATCTTGTTTATTATATAAACGGTTCTTCCTTCTTAGAAGAAACACATGAATTTTAGCTTTCGTTTTCTTCAAACTCTCACAGAATCTTTCTATCAGTTTGGCTTACGATTTTTGTGTCTAGTATCGTAAGTGTTCACTTGCATTATCCTAAGCTTAATTTATTGCAACCTAGTCATAGAGTAGAAATATCAATTCGGAAAGTGTTCTCAAGATCCAAGTTAGTATCCAGCTCTCCACTACAAACCCTAATTTTTAACACTTATGACATGTCTACACTACATAAAACGTCATTCCCTCTTATTTTTAGTGATCTGTGTCACTTATAGCCGCAATCGAGATCTTATCCAACAAACTTCTATCGTCAGTCCATTTACGGAGGGAGTACCGGGGTTATCCGGTGCTCCCCCCCCCCCCCCCTCGCCTAATATCCATATGTTTAATAAGCCTACTGTAACATCCCAAAAATCCGTACCAAAAATTTTTCTTTAAATCATTATCAAAGCCATATTCATAAAACATATCATGAGTCATAACATAAATTCAGAGTATTAATTCCAAAACATAATTCATTATTAGAGTAAAACATCCCATGCTGACTAATCAATGGTGTGTGTCATGCGATCACCCCGAACTCTTCCCTCCGCTACCGGAAGTACCTGAAACCAAAAGTGAAAACCGTAAGCACAAAGCTTAGTGAGTTCCCCAACCTACCACATACACTGTACAAACACATACAACATATACTGGGCTACGCCCGCTATTTCAGGCCTCGCCGCTCCAGGCCCCGCCTGGCTTCGAGCCTGGCTTGGATACAAATCTATCTCTTTTAAGCCCCGCCTGTCTCTGGGCCCCGCCCGCTAACCACATATAGTAAAAAATAGCATATAACACACATAACTGAACATACCCTACTACATTCTTGTCCTTAGGCCTCGCCTGTCTTGGGCCTCACCCCTGTCCTGTCACTAGTGAGTCATGGAACCCCGTCCAAGCTCCTACGGTAAGTGAGATACGAGCCCACACACACACTCACTCCATGCCTATCTCGGGCCTCGCCCATGCTCTGCTACTAATGAGATATGGAACACCGTCCATACTTTGCTATTAGTGAGATACGGGACCTCGCCCACACTCACCTTCCTACCAGGCACATACATGCATCACACAAACAACAAATATACTCTATCATGCAAACCATTCCTTGGGCACCCACCCAACATCGAACCTTGGTCCGGAATAACATACTAGCAACCAATGCCTAGGGCTAACCCTCGGGTCTTCCTACTCATAACTACATGGGATGGCACTGTGGCCGTAGACCCATTCACACAAAGGGAAACTCACCTGCACTGCTGAACTTGCTGATAACCCTCTTGCTGCTGACCGAAAATTTTCTGAACCGTTGCTCCGCTAGCTCCCCGAGCTACCAATATCAATACATATATCACTTAGTTCCATACTGAACTCTAGAAGCCAAACTAAGTCAACTATGGTCAAAGTCAATCTTTCTGGCTAACTCTACTCGCCGAGTCAGTCCTTTGACTCGTCGAGTACATATACTCAGAACTTTCATAATGCGACCCAACTCACTGAGTCACCCCAAGACTCGTCGAGTTCAACGATCTCTGAGTCCTATCCTGTCCAACTCACTGGGTCACCATTCAACTCACTGATCTGAGCCTTAACCAGAAGGGGTTAATGTTTCGCGACCTGACTCGCCGAGTCCAAGAACATACTCGCCGAGTCCATGACAATCTTCAACAGACTCGCCGAGTTGTTCTTCCAACTCGTCGAGTCCATGCCCACCTTCATCCAACTCGCTGAGTTCACCCATGTGACTCGCCGAGTCGCTTCAGTTCTTAATCCATACAGTGGCTTTTCGAGCCATGCAGGGGCTCCAACTCATAGATCCACCCTTCCCAAGTCAATTCCTCACGTAAAGTTCCAAACTTTACGTGAAAGCGACAAAACTGCAACATTGGTCCCTGTGGTATTCAAAAAACTTTGGATGGGGTCCAAAAACTTTCCAACTTGCATGGAGAGTCCAAAATCAAAACTTTTCCGTGATTTTGGTCCTAAAATTAAATTTTTTTTGTAGTTTTGGTCCATAGAGCATTTGAATTGACTGTTTTGCCCTTTTAATTTCGCTTTTGTATTTTTCTTTTATATTTTTTAAACTGTAAATGTTAATGCAAAAAAATATGTTGGCCCACCTTTTCTCTCTGTCTCTGTCTCTCTCTCTCTCTCTCTCTCTCTCTCTCTCTCTCCCCCCCCTCTCTCTCTCTCTCTGTGTGTGTGTGTGCCCCCCTAAAGCTTTATCGTTCAAGGCAACTAATTTAGATGGTCGTTGAACATCAAATTGTGTTTCAATCGAATATTGTATCGGAGTCTATTCGCTTCATCAAACTTCAGTGCAACTTCACCTTACCATGAAGATTTGATTGTAAAGAAGATTTGGAGTGGTGGCAATCATGCATATACTTTATTTTTCACCCAACTAAACATGAATGTTTGATCAGAAGTGTACCAACTGTTCGATTTTATCTCTAATTTAAACTCAAATTGGTGTCTTCTTTAATTCTAGATTATGAAAAAAAAAAAATAGAAGAAAGTTTCCAAGCACCTGGATGGTTTAAAGATGTTGTTCATGGGTGTATTTTCCTTCAAATCAATCAAATCACATAAATAAATACACTAAAAACTAAAAAATAATACATAATTGCTGATTCGGTAGCAGAGCACGGTGGTTGGTCGTTTTCGTCACCGGAGACATAACCCGTCGTTGGTAACTCATCAAAAGTCGACAATAGATCTGATTTCAAACTCAAACTCATCGAATTTCAACCCCAAATCTGGAATCCACAAAACCCAACACGCATTGCATCTGATTTCAAATCCAAAGTCATCGATGTCCGACAGTGGGGTTCAATCATCGAGGTTTCGCGATGGAAGGTTTCAAGCTCCAATACCTAAATATACTGATTCGAGAAGTAGAGGGGGAACAAAGGTGATGATATGTACACTTATCGGCGGTGAGGGGCAGCGAGAAACATGGGTTGTGACCATTAGGTCTTCTTAACAGGAGTGGAGGCAATGAATCCGACGTTTTTTGATCAGAGAGAGCGAGGGAGAGAAAGAAATGTAGGGTGATGTGCAGAGGTGGGGGTGATATAGGGCCTATTTTTTTCTCTTTTTATTAAATTATAAAACAATTATAATAAATAAAGAAAATAAGAAAAATAAATAATAAGGGCAAAATAGTCATTTCATCTTTTTTAGGACCAAAATCATGGAAAAGTTTTGATTTTGGACTTTCCATGCAAGTTGGAAAGTTTTAGACCCCATCCAAAGTTTTTTGAATACCACAGGGACCAATCTTGCAGTTTTGTCCGTGAAACGAAAGAGATATGGGCTTAAAACACTCTAGGGCTAGGGTTTGGGGCAAACATGCTTAACCAATACAACAAAAACTGATACTTTATGGATCTTTGGGCCAAGACACACCTAGATCTGAAGTAGCAACCTCAGATCTGGACTTCTAACTCAAAAGGCTCCTTATCATACCAAAATGGCCCCAAAACATCATCCATGGGAAGATCTAGAAGCAACAAAGGCAAAGTGACAGATTGTTACCTTCAAACTGATGCTCACAACAAAAGGGTTGGATCCTCCAACTCCTTAGTGGTCAAATCCTCCAAACCTTCCTCTTGAAAAAGCCCTAAGCCCACTTCCTTCATTCACTCACTCAACTAGGGTTTGGAATCGTGTACAGCAGCTTCTGACCGACAAGGGGGGCTAAGGAAAGGACTTAAGGTCCTTTAAATAGGGCACCAAGTCCCGAAATTAGGGTTTCCCAATCCAGACTGGACTCGCCGAGTCCACTTTCCGACTCATCGAGTCGGTCACTTACTCTTCGACCCGAATTCCGCTCGGACTCGTCGAGTTCCACCCTGGACTCGACGAGTTGACCCCTTTGACTAAGGGTTTTCCTTTCCTTTCTTGGTCTTTCTGATTATGGGTGTTACACCTACTATAGTTTACCATATCATCCAAGTGCAAATATCCTA